TCAACATCAATACGAATTTTATTTTTATTCATAGCTAATTCGAATACCATAAATCTATATACTCAGACTAATGTCTTCAGTCACATGTGTTATTAAATATTGAACCTGTGCACAAGAAAAAATGTCTCGTAGTTGTATATTTCTCAGCTTTTTGCCAATTTTGATATCTGTTGCAATTGGCCGGATGTAAATCAACTTTTTGTGACTTACATTTCAATATCCTGAAGTGCTTCTTCAATGGATAATCTAGAGCAGCGACTAGTCGCTCGTCGGCGCTCTTCAAGGCGCCACTTATAACTAGCCGCTGCAATGTTTAATTCTATTCTTCCATAGCATCATTCTCTTTCACTTGCAATGTCCTTCATCATAGTTCGTGCTTAAGTAGAATATTTGTTTGATTAACAATAGAGAAAGGATTATATATTCTTCATAAATCTAATTATTCTGTAACTTTCACTCTGCTACATCACCGACACAAGTTAATTCACAAACCACACATATTATTTCTCCTTATATTTTAGATGTAACTACATTCAGTAAAATTTGCTTCTCCAGAAGCATTTATGATGTCAAAGAAAAAGACTTCGGCTTCACCTACTTTTTTAAGGAACTTTGGGGTGTGGGTGTGGATGTGAGCTAAGAGAACACCCAAACCCACACCCACACCCTTCTTCCTCGCCAGTTTATACGTACCTACAGACGATGACATGTTCTTTCTATTCGAAATATTTTTTCAGCAGATAAGTACAATTCAAGTCGTTTATATACTAGTTAATAGAGAGTTCCGACCACAATCATAGTTTCATATCGAGAATATATTTCAAAACGTTTTAAAATTTTTTTTCTAGACATAAAAAAGAAGAAATTGCTATTTACAAAAGATCTTAACTATTTAATAACTCGTATACAGTTGGAAAATGAAAAGAAAAATATAAGTATGAAGTTAAAGTAATTGTACATCTGAAAGAAAAGAACGGATAAAAAGAAAACGAAGAGCATTTCAACTAAATAATCGATGAGAAATTTTAGCTCCAGATTGTTCTCTCTCAATCTAAGTTGCTTAGAAATCCACTATGTCATTGGTATATTTAAGCATGGTGATTATATAAAATCGAATCACTACTGATCAATAACACCAATGGCAGTATTAGCGAAAGTACTGGGAAAAGAACGATTTTTACGGAAATAATTGAATAATAATAAATTACTATCGGATTGTCAGTTAGATTTCAGGAAACATCATTCAGCAATACATCAATTAGTCGCGGTTAGTTCATTCATTTCATAAAAGCGGAGCTATTGTATTAACTGAGAAAAATTTACATCACAGTAGCACTGGTGTAATAATTTGGAGATTATTTATTTAATCGGAAGATCATAACTTTTGTAGGAGGGAAACAGTCGGATTGCATAGCTATCAACAGATAGACCTCCATTATTAAATATATGGTTGTTAACTGTAATCCTACTCTGAGGATCAAGATGAGATGCAAATATGAGTTTTACACCCGGGTGTCGAACTAGATTTACAAGAGAATTTTCGATCAAAATATAGTTATCATGTATTACTCAAAGTATCAATATTGCCTCATCGGCGGGCCAGGGTCATTTTTTTGGTATGGCAAAATTATTAAAAAGTGTAAGAAACTTATAAAAAAATAGAACCTTAAATTTTGTTCATATATTTTGATTTTCATACTAAGTTTCTACTGTAGGCATCTTGTTCATATTATATTTATTATTTTCATTCTTAAAAGTAACAAAAAGAAATATGACATCACAAACTTTCCATAAAAAAACTACATCAATACAATCAAAATAACGGGTGATCGAAAATCATTTGAACAACATGTTTGTTCATTTTTGACCAACCTGAAAGTATGTCCGACGAGTCAAAATCTCTGCGTTAGAATCAAAATTTTGTGCTCTTTCAGAATATGGACTTAGAAATCTATGCCGATTTCTGTTCGAGAGTAGTGAAACAATCTTTGAAAGGTCCAAAAACTTAGTTTGGACGGAAATTTCGTCCGCACATTTTGTATTTTTACTGTTGTCATCCAAAACTAAAAGATGGAACCTTCATTATTATACCAGCTTGTAGAACAAAACCTATCCTACTCTCTAAAAAAAAAGGAGCTTTGCAGAACCCTTTGAAAAGGTTCTGTAGATTTCTAAAAGACTCCAAATGTGTCCAAAGTCTCAAAAAAAGGATAAAAAATTCGACAGAACCTTTTGAAAGTTCTGCGGAGTACCCACTAGCAGAACCATCTCTTGCAGAACCTTTTTTAAGGTTCTGTGAAAAAATACGAAACCTTAAGGGTTCTGCACAAAACAAATAACGTTTCGTGAGAAACCCTAATGGTTTTGTACAGAACCCTTAAGGTTTCGTATTTTTTCACAGAAACTTTTTTTGCTCTACAGAACCTAAAAAAGGTTCTGCAAGAGATGGTTCTGCTAGTGGGTATTCAGCAGAACCTTCAAAAGGTTCTGTCGAATTTTTTATCCTTTTTTTGAGACTTTGGACACATTTGGAGTCTTTTAGAAATCTACAGAACCTTTTCGAAGGGTTCTGCAAAGCTCCTTTTTTTTTTAGAGAGTACAAAATGTACTGTGTGAGTATTTTTTTTCTTTGGAGAAGACGTCTGAGTATTCGTTTTTCCTAAATCGTCATTTTTGAAAAATCGTTTTTTTTTACCAAAAGCGTTTTATGTGGACAGCAGCTCTTGGAAAAATGCGTATAGTTTACTTTGGGTAAAAGCTACAGCTTAGTTCAATATCACATTTTGTAAAGAACTGTTCGCTCTACGAAACTACGGAATCCGAGAATTTCTAGCATCTTCACAAAGAAATTTGTATGGGTTAGCAAAACCTGTTTCTTCGCAGTTCAAACTAACTATTTAAGCCTTTTAAA